AAGGGATCTTGGAGTCCTAGTGGACTCCAAGATGAACATGAATCATCAGTGTGATGAAGTCATCAGAAAAGCTAACTGCACTTTATCATGCATCACCAGATGCATGACAAACAGAACCAAGGAGGTGATACTTCCCTTCTATTGGGCGCTGGTCAGACTGCAGTTGGAACACTGCGTGCAGTTTTGGGCGCTACACCTCAAGAGGGATGTGGATAACCTGGATAGGGTCCAGAGAAGGCCCACTCGTATGGTTTAGGGCTTGCAAGCCAAGCCCTACGAGGAGAGACTAGGGCACCTGGACCTCTTCAGCCTCCGCAAGAGAAGGTAGAGAGGTGACCTTGTGGCTACCTATAAATTCATCATGGGGGCACAGAAGGGAATTGGTGAGGCTCTGCTCACAAAGGCGCCCCTGGGGGTCACAAGAAATAATGGCCATAAGCTAGCAGAGAGCAGATTTAGATTGAACATTAGGAGGAACTTCTTCACAGTTAGAGTGGCCAAGGTCTGGAATGGGTTTCCAAAAGAGGTGGTGCTCTCCCCTACCCTGGGGGTCTTCAAGAGGAGGTTGGATGGGCATCTGGCTGGGGTCATCTGAACCCAGCACTCTTTCCTGTCTATGTAGGGGGTTAGACTCAATGATCTATTGAGGTCCCTTCTGACCCTAACATCTATGAATCTCTAAGGCACATGTGGCAGTATCCACCACCCACATACTGGCCTCCATGGTCTTCCATACCTGAAAAAGGGCCACATATATAGCCTGGGCTATGTTCACCCTAATGAGGAAAGCACAGCACTCCTAGTGGTGCCTGATGTATGCCTTCCACTCCTCTGCAGCTGCAGTTCTGTTCTCAGAAGAGACTATGAATGATATCAACATCTCCTCCTTACTTTGGCTCTTCCTTCTCCTATGATGTGCCGTTTGCTGCCAGTGGTCTCTTGCTCTAGCCTTGGGTTGTAATCATCCCTAGAGCTGTCCAACATGCCAGACACAGGTGTAGTGGCTGGAAACAGAGGGAAGCAACAAATAGCCATATGAATGTGTCAGATTTTTCAGAGAATATGCAGCAAAACACAACTTCTGAATAGGAAGAGCTCAGTATCTTTCCACACACTTGCACTGGCTAGAACTTGGGAAGGTAAGTTCATGAACTCCCTGTGCAGCCTGTGATTTGCATCTTGTGCTCACTACCCCTTCCCTTTCTCAGTGTGCATACTGGAATGGCGTTTCACCCACCCCCCTCCAGTCGTGTAAAGGAAGAGTATCAGGCTGTTAAGTTACCAGGGATTGCTGCCCTTAGACAAGCAATAAGCATCAATGCTTTCACCATACTTCCCTCCCTGGCAGACAGAGTTCAAGAATGCTGTGGGACTCCCCATCCCATGCTCCCAGGATTTCCTGTAAGTCCTGTTTTCTCATTGCAAGACTAGAACATCTGGCTGATGTGTCCCTGACAAATTTAACCCCGCCCTAGAAGACAAGTTGTTCTGCTTGGTAAGAGAGAGACTCCCTACACCTTTCTTGTGGAGGACACAGTGCTGCTGGATGATACTGAGTTGTGGAAGGAGACTGTAAGCTTTGATAGGTCCATCAACAGGTGAGGCAACCCTGGAAATGCAAGAGCTACACTTCACAGATCTCAGAAGATATGCTACCAGTTCATTGCCTTGCCTGACCTGCAAGCCATCAAAGCTGGTATCGACCTGGCGTTTGTCTAGTAGCCAGTCCCCCTACCATATGCCATCCCAGGGCACAGTGCACTGGTCTATGGATGCCATGACCTTCCATCCCAGTGCAAGTACTGCAACATATCCCGGTGAAGTGTTGACCGCTGTGGCGGGTGCAGAGATCCCACCTCAGGAAAACAGCT